TATTGTAATATTTTTTTTATTGTTTTAGATATTCAAGGGGCTAGAACCCTTTTATTTTAGATTTATTTTTATGCTTGTAGAGTAGATTTACATTCATATCTTTATTTTCTTGTATTTTAGTATAGATTTAATTTCTTGCATAGTTTAGATTTTTTTTCTTGCATCATTCTCCAATAGGATAGAACCCACTTAGGAATTAGTTTTTAATTTTATTCATTTTCTTCTATTCTCTAAGAGGCTAGAACCTTCTTAGAAATTAGTTTTTATTTTTCTCTTCCTTTTATTCTATTCTCCAAGAGGCTAGAACCTTCTTGGAAATTAGTTTTTATTTTTCTCTTCCTTTTATTCTCTCTAGTATAGATTTTACTCCTTTATTTTTATTTTCTAAGATGCGAAACTAATTATTGTAGGAATTCTAGAATTGTATGAAACTAGGTTGACCTCTTTTATAATTTTTGAATTATTTACTTATGCTTAAAATAATCATACTTAGGATAATCAACTAGAGAACTAATTAGTAAAAGAAGAATTTGATAATATATACTTATCTTGAGTGATTTGGTAGGTTATGCTTATGAATTCTAGAATTACTATCTAGTTATTGTTCTTTTCATGAATATTAATTTTACAGGGATGATAATTTAATAGATTATGCTTTTCTTAGGTGGTTTGATAGTCTATGCTTAGTATGTCTAAAGTAAAATGTGATAAAAAGAGAATAGTTCATAATCTACAAGTAAAATTAACTAGTGAATTCAATTCTAGATTCCTCATATCTTTAATTGAATCCTCCATTTTTACTTTCTTAAAATTTTTCTTTGTTCTTGATTTTTTATTTATTTCTTAGTTTTATTTTATTTTATTTTTTTATCTTTCTTTCTCCCCTCTCAATTTAGTTTTGTTTTATTTACATATTATCACATCCACTCTCCTTATCTCTCCACAACCACATTCTTTTATCACTCCTAATTGTCACACACAATTTAAGAACCAATTTTGATTAGTTCCTACAACACATTCCTCACGAGATTCAACAATCTTTTATACTATAACTTGATAGTTGTGTGCTTGTAACTTTGGATTCTATTTATTACCATATCAGCCTCGATGATAGCAACAGTACTGTCAAATATCCCTTGACTAGGGGGTTTGACTTCATACGAGGTGGAGGATCAATGAAATGTCCTTCCTTTTCAGATCAAATGCAACATTTGTGATTGAGGAGCATTGAGGGGGGCAAGTGTCAGCTTCCTCAGTATTTTATTCCTTTGATATTTTTTATCAACTCGACTGGGTCTGGACTCGAACTTGGATCGACTGTCTTTAGCCTTCTTGTTTTGAGAGGGTTCAACCTTAGTAGCTTCCAATTGTGCCACCATTTTATGGGTACAGCTATCCTCGGCATACATATGCTATCGAGTTCTAGGTGTGAGTTGGTCAAAGTCAGTTACTCAATTCATAATAAGAGACTCAGATAACTTCTCGCCTTCAAGGCCAGTGATGATCGCATCCATGGCAACTATATTATCGGGGTCCTCCACTTCCAGGCGCTTAGCTTGGAATCTCTTAAAATACTCCCTCAAGATCTCTCCTATTCTCTGCTTGATTTGCAACAAAAGAGCAAAGCTTGCCTTTACTTATATCTGCTAGAAAATAATGTATAAACTTTTGATTCAGTTGCTCGAAGCTGTGGATGGACTTTTTGTCTAGTGAGTTCACCAAATCTTCATGCTACCACTGAGAGTGACAGGGAAGGCTCGGTAGATGACAAGATCACTCACTTGCTGCATGCACATTAGATTATAAAAATTTTGTGCATGTTCGGCTGGATCACCTTCACCTTTGATGTGTGGCACCTTGAACTTTGGGCAAGGAGCGTTCATGATCCAATCTGCTAGAGGAGAGTTCCCTCCAATAACATCGGTGAACATGTTGAATGTTCGATCATATCTGGAGGCCAAGTTGATCATGGAAGGATCGACCTTTAGTCATTGGGGTTTGAGTCATGTAGGTAGGTCTTATATATTGTGACATTGCCCATGTGGCCTAAATAGAGCTGATGATTGAACTCTCGCCTATTATCTCCATATGATACTAGGGTTGTTGTAGTTCGATAGCAAAACAAGTATGTTGTCGATGCGTTAAGGGAGTAGCTTTTCTAGCTCGCTCTTCTAGCTCCTATCATCGATGTTGCTCTTCGTAGGGAGGAGCAACAAAGGGAGCAATACGAGCTGATGATGAGCAAGAGAGGAACGTCACCAGTACGCTCTTTTGACCAAGACACTGCTCTAGAAATAGACTGAAGCTTGGTGGGATCCGCTTCAATCAAGAAGCACGAGGAGAACTGTGGGCGATGCCAGAAACCGCCACTTTTCCACAAAAATACTTTTAATAACACCTTTATTAAAGCTACTTTTTAGAAGTTACTTATAAAAGGTACTTTATTAAAGTTACTTTTGTAAAAATACTTTTCTAATGTTACTTTGTAAAAAGTGAGTCGGTTCAGAGTCTATAAATAGAAGGGCTTGTGTATTGTAAGGATGTTGATGAGGAAGAATTCGATGGATGAGTTCATATGTGAGGAAAGTGAGCACTGTTGAAGAGACTTGACCAACCATGGATTGGATTCATCCAATTTGTCTTGGGTGATATAGCTGGAGTTACAGCTTTCTCTGATGATTGGAACCAAAGATCGGTCGTGATTGGCCATTTTCTCAAAAGAAGAAGAAGATGCCCCATGGTGGGTTCCAAATTGTTGATGTCGGTCAACTAATTAGGAGATCAATTATGATTTGAAGGAAGTTTAGGCTCTCTTTATCCTCTTTGATGGCCGATTATGTATGCAAATAAAGATTCATGTACATAGTAACACCGTGGATTGGAGTTGGGTTCTGCGATAGGCCCTCCAATACTCAAGTCAGTTATATATTAAGTAGTTCTTAACATACTAAAATTAGAGAGTATTCTATAGTTCCCATCGTTCAATCAAGTAGCTCTTTACATGTGTTAATCGCGGAGTAGGAGAGTCACCCTTGCATTTAATACGACAGTGACGGAGAGGTTGAAGTGTTGGCATCATCTAAGGAGTCATAATGACTCCGGCAGGGTGGCATAATCACTCTGGCCATGCATTAAATATGATGGTGACTGGGCTGTGCATCTCGGCTTGACGAAGCTGATAAGTCAATTCACCCTTCAAGACATTCCGTATTGAATCTGAGGGAGGGACGCCATTAGTCTTGGAATTTCCAACTCCTTGAGCGAATCTAGGACTGGAAGCGTTGTTCTTCTTGAGCCCGGGTCGAGAGACCGATCTGAAGACGCCTTTCTTCTCGAATCTGCCTCTAAAAATAAGTCGGATGTGTACATATCCGGGTCAGGTTTCCTAACTAGGGATAGTAAACCAGATAAACATGACACGTGTCTGCATTAGGGAGATTCATTATACTCAGCGATTTTCAGGATACAACAGTTAGTGAATTTGCTTTCATTTATTTATATACGTAACAATCCATAAGAGAAGAAACTGACAAGTTGTCATTTTTGTGGGTACCAATAGTCAAAAAAAGAGTAATAAAGTGTCTCCGACCTTTCCTAATCAGCAATAATATCACAAATGACATTGCATCATATCCTTATAATATTTAACTTTATCCTCATTTCCAAAATAAAAATAAAAAGTCACCAAAAGCAAATAAACAAATTTATTGAGACGTTAAAGAACAGCCGTCAATTTATTGAGGGAATCTTGCAGATCAGCCCTTCTCTTTAAACGAAATTAGGGATCCTCCATCAAATTAAAATTCACAAATTACCCTAAGGAGCATTTCTGTTAGTTAATTCACATAAATCATTTGAACTTTGTTTATTTCATATAACTTCACTTGAAATTCAGGGTTTCTTGCTAACTCTTCTAAGTTGTATCTCTTTCTCCTTAGACTTTCTATATGTAATTTGTGAACATTTAAAATACCCTTGAGAGAAAATTTCACAAATTTTGTCATCTTTTATTTACAGACAACTTACTCCCTCTCCAAATATGTCGGATTTTTTTCTCTCAAGAAAATTTTAATTATTTTAAAGTTACATGTAGAAGACTAGTGAAAAAAGTTCAAAGTTCATATAGGTTTTGTGATGCACCCCAAAGTATTGGACGAAACGAAGTTCAGGGGAAGTATGTGCAAAACACTAGGTTTAGGGGGTTTTTGTGACATAACCCTTTTTAATTTACATTTTATCACTTTTGACTAGGGCTGAGCACAGTTCGGCTCGGTTTGGTTTTTAACAAAATTTGAACAACTGAACCGAACTGCTTATAATTCAAAACCGAACCGAACCGTTGCAAGTCGGTTCGGTTCGGTTCGATTCGGTTTGTTCGGTTCTAACTTCATCAAACTTCTTATCAAACAGCAAACTGTGTTAAAGAAAAAAAAAGATATCAACAAAGTAGGAGATTATGAAGCATTAAACACTGATATAATGATATTGTTTTCAACCCATAATGATTTCGGTCCTAATACATATGCAGCATACTTAATGTCCAGAGTTCAAACTATTAAAGATAAAGCAAATGATGAGTGACGACCATAATATAAATAATTTGGTCAACAAAAACATGTAATCTAAGAGTTTCATTTTCCAAAGTTCTTCGATGTTGACTCAAATTGGCTCAAGGAATGAACCAGAGATTGTCGGTTCTTCCATGAAAGCTCTTACAAATCCGTGATTGTCGGTTCAACTGAAAGCTTGCCCAAATGTGAAAGATAAACAAATAAAAAGTTAATAAAAAAATTAAATGATGCACTATATTCGGTCGGTTCGGGTTGAAAAGTTTTCAACCCGACCCGAACCGTCCTATTCATAAAACCACTTTTTTTAGACCGGTTCAGATCGGTTCGGTCGGTTTTTTCGATTTGGACCGAACAGTGCTCCGCCTTACTTTTGACCTTTATCATCAATTCATCAGCCCTTCGCTTTGCCGTTACGCTGCCCTCTTTCTCTCTCTAAATCATTACGAAACGGTATAAAAACCTTCCCACTTTCATTCCCAACCTCCTCAACGTCAACACGAAATCTCCCATTTCTACAGCGAGAAGAGTTTCAAAGCTTCATCAGTTTTGTTCCCAAAATACCCCCACGTAGGGTTTCGACGATGAGCAGCTCCGACGAGCAGATCTCCAAGGCCTTCTACGAGCTCTCCGCCATCCTCCTCTCGATCCTCCCCTCGCCGCCTGGATCCGGTCCTCCGCCACGGCGGATCCAGGCGGTGCCGAGATCTCCGTCCGCGAGGCGGAGCCAGATGACGCCGGCGGCGTTCGCTTCGCTCTTGCTGGGCGTTTCGTTCGCTATGATGCTCTCTGGATCGGTGACGTTCGTGATTGGGATTATGCTGATGCCTTGGGTGCTAGGGTTTGTGATGGTGTTGTATTTCGTCGGGATTGTTTCGAGCTTGTCGGCGATGCTTTTCCCTAGCTCGTGGGTGGCGGGATCCAGAACAAGTCCCAAGGAGATCCACGGTAAAAATCTCTGTTCTTGATTGAATTCGCCAAATTTGATGATTAATCTTGCTGAGCTGAGAAAAGAATTTGATCTTATATTTAGTTAAATGAAAGTAAATTACCTACATTTTATTTTATCGATTGCTGATTGTATTGATTGTTTTGGAACACGATCTGATGTTTATCTTATTTGTTTGCGTACAAGTTAATCTTTTTACTGCTTATAATTATAATTGGCGTATTCTTGTTTGATAGTAATATTAAGACATTTCTGGTAAATGAACAATAATTGCAGCATGTTACTGCTTTGTGTAGTGGAAAACTATCTTGTGTCAGAGAGTGGATACTATTTTCTTTTGTTACCTCCAAGTTGTTTGTTGAATCTAGTTGCTTGCTTGTTTATGGAATGACTTCTTTAAGTTGGAATTGTCTATCCCACGTTGATGGCAAGTGGTTATTTCTTTTGGGCTTGTTTGGATTTGAAGGGGGTGAAGGGAAGTTAGGTGAACCTAGGGGAAGTTAAGTTAAGGTAAGGGAACTTCTAAAACTTGTTTGGGAAACTAGTAAGGTGAATCAAGGGGAAGTTATTTCACCCCGTTTGGAAAGTGTAATAACGGGAATGGAAGGGAAGGGAATGTATATAAATTGACATAAATACCCTCACATATTATTAAGTTATATTGTTGTTAGAAATTTTAGCCGTTGGATTTTGATCTTAGTTAGGAGTAAATATGTCTCTCTACATTTGTTGTATCCCCCTCTTTACCTTCACCCCCATTACACCCCAAATTGGGGGGAAGAAATCATGTTATTTTTTCACCTCCTTTCACCTCCCCTCACCCCTATTAACTTGCTATATTTACTTCCCAAACAAGGTTAAAAGTTACCCTCCCTTCCCCTCACCCCCATTACCCTCAATCCAAACAAGCCCTTAATGTCTTTGGTTTGCTTCTGTAAGTAAGATCTCTCAATTTGAATACCAAATTTGTGTTGCGGATAAATTCTTTACTTGTGAAGGGACCTGTCCAAAGACTTTTTGGCCTTTTCGGCCTTTTCATTACCAGACTGCTTATGTGTCCTCATTCTTTGTTCTTTTGTAATGGGGGTCATTATGTTTCCTTGACTAAATTCCCCTCCTGACCTCTGATTACTAGATATCCCGCTAATCTACAAACATAACTTTGATAGTCGTATAATTGATAAAACTGAATTAATCTACCCCTGTGCTGCTTCTTAGTTTATGATAGTCCCCCTCTATCTTCATCACAGTCTGTTAAGGTTGTTTGAGGTTTCCCTAAAGCGCAATAATATAGTAGTAAAGGTTGCAAGCTTGATCTTTTTCAAAAAAATCGACAGTTTAGGCTAGATATAGTATGTGCCTTGAGCAGCAGCTGTCCTAAACTGTCAAGTAGGCTCCTTCCCACTTAGATACTTTGGACTATGATAAAATCATGGGCATTGAACCATATGGATAGCAACTTGGAGCAAATTGAGAAGAGCTTTAACATCTGGACCATTCCTATTTAGAGGGAGCAGGCTAGTGTTTAGGCTTTCCCCATTCACTAGATGCCATTATTTTTCATTTCCCTATGTGTGTGTGTTCCATGCTACAGATAAAATCCAAAAGGGATTCTTTTGGAGGGACACTAAAGGGAATATTTGCCTTGGATGACGGATAAACAACAGAAGATGAGCTTAGGTGGGATTATCCAAACATCTGTGTTTACTTTAAGTAGCTTGGATCATCAACAATTGGAGATGGACAACTTTCTTTAGAAGATGTACTCTTCCACATCTCCTCCAATGCTATCATGAGCTTAGGTGGGAATTATCCAAACACAACGCCTCTTACAAATCTCTGGTCCAACTAGCTGGAGCATGCAACTGCTTTTTGTTGCTCATCTTGCACACCTCAGTATCAGGTTACCATCATGTGGGAAATATCTACTGGAATCACATCTACACCATTTCCTACTTCGATTTTTTTCATTGATAAATATAGGCTGAGATCCTCACTTCGTGAAAAGAGAATAGAGATGCATTAAGTTGTTGATAAACCTGAACCCATCCAAGTGCATCACGTTACTTTCTTGCCAAAGTAATTAGCAACAATTTCACTCCCTTATTATTTTAATTTGTGAGATGGGAACTACAGAGGATAGTAAATTAAGTGACTTCCTACTCATGAGCTTTTACTTTTTAGTATTTCCAAGGGTAGTGAGGAATTCAATGATTCTGACTTGTGCCAAAGGTTGGATATTACTTGAATGTGTCAACCTTCATTTATATTATAATTTGACTGAACTTCACAGTTTATCATGATATTCTTATATATAAATCTTGAAGGGGAAAGGTCCCGTTTTAAACATTGATACTGCTTTTTACACACACGGCTTCCATTGATTTTCATGGATATCGACAAACACTTCTAACAAGGGAGGAAACTTTTAGACTCAACCACATGGGATATGGTAGCCATCTGAACTAGAATATGTTTTACATTAAAAAGAGGGCCTATATCTGTAGTTATTTACTTACATTTTAGTTCCTTCTGGGTGGTTCTGATACTTGTTATTACCCTTTATGTTTTACATTAGAAAAGAGGGCTTTTACCTGTAGTTAATTACTTACGTTTTAGTTCCTTCTGGGTGGTTCCGATGCATTTTAGAGTTGGACTTGTAGTTTTGATGGTAGGTTCTTTCTTCACATAGAAATTTCCTAGAACAGGGGTTGGATTTATATTTATTTAATACAGATCAACTTAATCTTCTCCAGAATACATGTAGAAATCATATGTCATTTTGATCAAGGTTATAGTTTGAGAGAGTGTACGAATTTTGAATGGTAGAAAGTGCAATAGAGATTGGTTTTTAACTCTACTTGTACAACAGCCACCAATCCTGATGAGTAAGCAGGTGATCCTTAGAATAATAACATGAATCTTAAAAACTATTGTCTTCATAGGAGTACTTCTTTTTCTCTTCTTTTATGCACCCATAGATATGAAAGAATGTCAATATTCTTCTGCACCCACATCACAATGAGATGACTTGTAGGATATTTTACGTAATAAGTGATTTAGATATAAGAGTATCATTGGTTGGGGCCTTAGTAGCGGACTGGGGCCTTAATAGTATCGTAGGTTAGCAATCAACAAGAAACTCAAGAGGAAGTTTCATATAAAGACATGATCAAGGGTCAAATTTATAGTTTCCCTTTTCTTGGAACATTCAGATTGTACTGGTGAATCATTTTTTAATTGTATTAACGGGTTAGGTTCAAGAATGTAGAAGTGAAAAGAAATGCTTGTTGGTATGTTCACAGGTTACTTTACAATTAAGCAATAGCATTGTGGTATACAATGGTAAGTTATATGACTTGTGCATCTTTTGACTTGTGCATCTTTTAATCAATCTTAGTTTCTCTTACAATATGATTTATCTGTGAGTTTGACCAAGTTGTGGTTTTAATTGGTACGGTATGCTTCTATAAACAAGCATATTCTTAGGTAACTATTGTAATAACTTGTAAACAAGAGTTCTGCTATTGTATTCGCTTTAGTTAAGCACTATCGTTGTTTGATACTAAAACTTGGTCCGTTTTCATAATTTATCTTGCTTTTCTAAATGCGATAATGCATCACATCCTCATTTGTTCGTGTTATTTACCTAAAAATCCTTCAGAAGTAAAATATGCACATTTGCAACAGTAAAAAATTAATATGTGAAATAAGGATTATGATATTGCATCATGTTATCTCGTCATTATGGATGATCTTCGTAATTTAGGATTGGAAATGTATAAACTCCTGATGATTAATCCCATTAATTATGGTATTCTTCAAAATATGGGCTCGGATGTATAAACTTGTTTGAGTTTGCTCATGAAGCATTTCCATTTATTTGAGTTCGCTGGTAGTTTAGCAGCTATTAACTGATGCTTCTTGTCAGTGCAGGCCACCTCTTCTCCAAAGTCATTTAATATCACAAGAAGAGCAACAGTTGGCACCGGACCACTCTATGCAACAGTTAGAATGGTGAATTATGACACGGTCATGGAGCACACTTGGTAAGCCCTTTTGGGTTTTGACTCAACCAGACGCAAGGGCTTATTTTATTTTATTTCTCTCTTTTTCTTTTCTATGAAAGGTCGAACTTTGTCTATATTGCTTCTTCCTCTTCTAGAGGGCTCTTTCCTGATTTCTTTCTGCTTGTATAGATGCAAATTGTTATACAGCTTGCTGTATTTGCCAGAAATATTATACGTCCTTTGACATCTTCAGTGGCCTTCCTATCGGTTTCACTGCTAAAATGTAGTTTTTCTGGTATATATACAAATCAGGCAAATACATCTCAACTAATGCTTGCCTAATTTCAGATTTGCCGCAACAGTTCAAATGAAGAAGTATAGCTAAACATATCTTTTTCCCAATCCTCATGGATGAATTTTTATTTTTTAGTTTTTATTTTTAAAGCTCAGGTAGGAAGTGTATGGTATTTATCTTTTCCATTAGGCAGTAAATGAAAATGAAAAATGTTTGGTATTTTTTGCCTTCTTCATATTTATTGGAGTCAATTTCTGTGAAAGAGAATTCTGCCAGAATGTTAGTTGATTGTGGTACTTTGATACATATGTGTGAAGGATGGATTTCTATAAATTTCCGTAGGTGAACTGAAAAATGATCAATTATCTGCTGATCTTTCTATAAAGAGTAATTATGAATTATACAAACATCCAAATAAATTTACATGCCTGCTTTAATAGTTAGGAATTCGTAATTTCATTAGCTTTTTCTTTGACAAAGTTTTGGTTTGTGCATTGTATATTGTGTTATTTTCTTTTCTTTTCTTTTTTATTGTTACTGTCGTCCAAAAAGTAATGACCCTCTCTGTATGGTCTGTTGAGTAATACTTGGGGGCTACGCTAAACCCCTAAAATAGCAAGAAACACAGTATAAGGAAAAATACATCAAGATTTACGAGGTTTGGTAAACTTGTCTACGTCCCTCGGGAGCCACATAATTAATTTCTTATTAATCAAAGAAATTACAATGCAAAAGCATATCTCAAACTTGAGATCTCTCAATAAATGCAAATTGTTACTGTAGCTACAATAAACAATTCCCTTTAATTCCCCTTTTAAATCCCCCTTCTTAATTCTCTCTTCTATTTAATTATCCTCTTNGCGCTGGGAAGAGAGAGAGAGAGAGAGAGAGAGAGCCACCACCGTGGCCTAGGGTTTGAAATCGAGAGAGGATAGAGAGAAGAAGCCCACACTTCTCGTGCTCTGGGTTCCCTTTTATAAGGGAACCCTAGGGACAGGCTGTCGACAGCTAGCGATAGCCTGGAGCGTCGACCTCGCTTGGATTCTGTGCTCGAGCTCGCCAGAATCTCCGCCTTGGACCTCGAGCTCGCCTTCGACCTCGCTTGGATTCTGTGCTCGAGCTCGCCAGAATCTCCGCCTTGGACCTCGAGCTCGCCTGACTGGACCACAAACTTGCCTGCTACAACCTCGAGCTCGCCTGACCTCGTCGAGCTCGCCTGTAGCTCTTGCCTGGACCTCGCTTGAAGGTGCTTAAGCTTTGCTTGCATCTGTGCTAACCTTGCCTGCAATGGCCTCGAGCTCACCTGCTTCTGGACCTCGCCCGCTCACCTCGACCTTGTCGACTGGAGCTCACCCTCGCCTGAAGCTTCTCACTTGAAGCTTCAGCCTTTCTTGCGGAGGTTTGGTTCTACACCCAACTCTAACAATCTCCCATTTGGAGACCAAACCGTCGACAGCAGGCTATCTCAACAAGAACTTCTTCCTGTGTGGCTCCGCCTTCATCACCTATGCATGAAGGTCAACTAAAGTTGCGCACAACTTCAGTTTCTAAAAGGTCATTGCCTTTGTCAACATATCTGCTGGATTCTTACTTTCTTGGATCTTCTGTTGAAATCCTTTGACAACTTATCGGGCTCTGTATCTTCTGGAACCATCATGTTCCTTTTTCACTTGATAAACCCACTTGTTGTGATGTGTCTTCTTCCCCATGGGTAACTCAACTAGTTCCCATGTCTGGTTAGAGATCAAAGATTTTATCTATTCTTTCACAGAAAGCTCCCACTTGCTCGCATCTCCACTCTAACAAGCTTCATTAAAGCTTTCAAGCTTTCCTCCATCTGTTAGCAACATATAATTCTTGTATATGCTGTTAGTCACAGGAGGACGAGACGATCTTCACAATATCGGAGCTGGTGAGTCGGGCTCCTACGCACTATTCTGTCCAACAGGCTCTTGTGGGCTAAGGACTTGCGGCGTTGGGTTCTTCCGAGGGGTTACATGGGACATCATCTGCATTTACAAATGTTGACTCGTTCTCCTCTGAGTCATTAGTATCTGTCTTGTACATGTCCTTGTACATCACCTTCTTATTAAATATCACATCTCTGCTACGAATCACTTTCTTGTTTTCGTTGTCCCAAATACGGTAGCCGAACTCATCTTCACCATAGTCGATGAAAGTGTATTTCTTTGACTTGGGATCAAGCTTATTCCTGCTTTGATCACTAATATGCACATAAGCTACACAATTAAAAGCTTTGAAATGTGAGAGTTTTAACTCTTTTCCGCACCATACCTCCTCTGGTATTCTATGCTCCAATGGAACCGATGAACTTCGATTGATCAAGTAAGCTGCTGTGTTGACTATTTCTACCAAGAACTATTTCGGTAGACGTGTCCGAATGCTTCTGGCTCTCTCTGTCAACGTTCTATTCATCGGTTCAGCTACACCATTGTGTTGAGGCGTGCCGGGCACGGTTCTCTCCATTCTGATCTCGTGCTCGTGGCAGAACTTCTTGAATTTGGTGTCTTCATACTCACAACCATTGTCTGTTCTGAGTTTCTTTATTCTCAGACCGGTCTCATTCTTGACCATGGCTTTCCATCTTCTGAAAACCTCAAATACTTCTGACTTATGCTTCAAGAAGTAGACACATACTTTCCGAGAGTGATCATCGATAAAAGTCACGAAGTAGCATTTCCCACCAATGGACGCAGTGGTGGTTAGTCCCCAAACATCTGAATGAATGAGCCCTAGCTTCTCTATCCTAGGGGTTCTACCACTTGTCTGAAAGCTGACTTCTTCTGCTTTCCAAGTATGCATTCTTCACACATATCAATCTCAACTGATTGTAAACCCGAGAGTTTTCCCTTTATGTGCATAATCTTTATCTTTTTTTTACTCATATGACGGAGTCTCTAGTGTCATAGCTTTGAAGTCTCATTACCTGCTGCAACTCATGCACCTGCTACTACTCGTGCACCTGCTGTCATATGTAAGGTATCAAACTTCCTGTCTCGGGCAATTGTCATTATGCATTTTAAAATCCTCCAATCATCACCATGGAAAGTCGTAGTGTAGCCTTCACTAGCCAGCTGGCTTACTGAGATTAAGTTCCTTTTCGGGTCGAGAATATGTCTAACATCCTTCAACTCCCATACTGATCCATTTAACTTAATCTTCACTACACCTTTGCCAATAATGACACATGGTTGATCATCACCAAAGTATATATTTTCAAGGTTTCTGGGGATATACTCCTCGAGGAATTCTTTCTGAGAGTAGCATAAAATTGTTCTCCAGAGTCCAACACCCAAGACTCATTGCTCTCCAAAGAGCATATCAATGCATCATCTCCTCCTGAGGTGGAAGTAACATTTGCATCTGTCTTTGCCTCCCACTCTTTTTGTGCACTCTTGCACTGATTCTTGTAGTGCCCGGTTTTTCCACACTTCCAACACTTGATAGCCTTTGAGATGCTGGAATTCCTGGATTTGGACTTCATGTCCTCTGATCCATTTCCTCTAGTTGAATTTCTATCTCTTGACTCTGTATGTAATACTGAAGAAGTTATAGCTTCACCCGACTCTCTCCGTCGGATCTCCTCACTAAGACAAGATCACGAACATCATCGAACTTCAACTTGTTGTTTCTCGACGAGCTACTCACAGATGTAACTATAGCATTCCAGCTTTCTGGTAGGGAAGACAAAAGGATCAACACTCACACTTCTTCATCAAACTCAATATCAACTGAACTCAATTGGGTCGTGACTGTATTGAGTTTATTGAGATGATATGCTACCGATGCACCTTCCGTCATTCGCAGATTGAATAATCGTCTCATCAAATGAACTTTGTTTGAGGCTGATGACTTCTCATACATATTTGAGAGTGTTGCCATAAGACACGCTGTGATCTTTTCCTTTGCAATATTAAAAGCAACATTGCGGGTAAACGTTAAACGAATAATCCTGAGGGCATTTCTGTCTAGAAGATTCCAATCTTCTTCCTCCATACCCTCCGGCTTCTTCCCCAAAGGGGGTTGATACAGATTCTTTTGGTACAGATAATCCTCTATTTGCATCTTTCAAAATCAAAAATCTGATCCATCAAACTTCTCTAATCTCACATTTCCTTCATCTACTACCATAACTCCCACTTGAATCTGACTTCCTCTAGATCGTTTCAGGCTCTGATACCAGTTGTTGGATAATACCCGGTGGCTACGCTAAACCCTTAAAATAGCAAGAAACACAGTATAGAAAAAATACACCAAGATCTACGAGGTTCGGCAAACTTGCCTACGTTTTCGGGAGCCACACAATTAGTTTCTTATTAATCAACTAAATTATAATGCAAGAGCAGATCTCGAACTTGAGATCTCTCAATAAATGCAAATTGTTACTGTAGCTATAATAAACAATTCCCTTTAATTCTCCTCTTAAATCCCCCTTCTGAATTTTCTCTTCTATTTAATTATCCTCTTAAATCCCCCCCCCCCCCCGAGAGAGAGAGAGAGAGAGAGAGAGAGAGTGTGTGTGTGAGAGAGAGAGCAATCGTCGCCACCATCGCCTAGGGTTTGGAATCACGAGAGGAGAGAGAGAGAAGAAGCACACACTTCTCGTGCTTTAGGTTCCCTTTTATAAAGGAACCCTAGGGACAGGCTGTTGACAGCTAGCGACATCCTAGAGCGCCGATCTCACCTGGATTCCGTGCTCGAGCTCGCCAGAATCTCCGCCTTGGACCTCGAGCTCGCCTGATTGGAGCACGAGCTTGCATGTTACAACCTCGAGCTGGCCTAACCTCGTCGAGCTCGCCTACAGCTCTCGCCTGGACCTCGCTTGAAGAAGCTCAAGCTCGCCTGCATCTGTGCCAACCTCACTTGTAATAGCCTCGAGCTCGACTGCTTCTGGACCTCACCCGCTCACCTTGACCTCGTCGACTAGAGCTCGCCCTCGCCTGAAGCTTCTCGCTTGAAGCTTCAACCTCGCTTGCAGAGGTTTGGTTCTACACCCAAATCCAGCATGGTCTCTATCGAGGAAAAAAGTAGATTCATGTGTAATCATGAATGATTAATAACTCCCCAAAACTTTATAGGGTCAGTTCCATGAAAGTGGTAGATTAGTCAAAATCTCTGGCACAGTTATTGCTAGCCCTAAAACATTGAACTTGATATATGATTCAGTTTACTCTGACGAGGTTGAGCTGATTGCTTCAAAGTAACAATAACTTAATTGATTTGCGCTAACCAGAGCTTGAAATAAGATTCAATTTACTCCGACGAAACTGAACTGATGCTTCCAAGAACAATAACTTAATGGATTTGTGCTAACCAGACACCCGATGTTCAGCTTCATCACATTTAGACAGATAATAATAACCTCCACTCCACAGTCTGGTCCAGGATGACATCCTTGATCTAGCAAGATACGACGACCTCCTAAGGTCGAGCACAGAATACTGATCTCCTTCGCTAGGCACAGGATCGGGACTTAACCGATCAGCGTAGTGGCAACACTGAAGGAAACTGCAACCATTTCGTATGTTAGGTCTGTCGTGTTATTATATGTTGACCATTGCAGGACAAATCTTTCTACAACTCTTTGGTCCTCGCCAAGGGTTAACCAACCCACTACTGACCACTATGTGCTGCATCAAGGATCTGATCAGTTTCAACCACTTACTGTTCTGACATTAACCCGTTAAGAGCGTTAGGCGAAACCACTGTTATAAATAGCAGTAAATAGCCCCGTAATAGCGGCGCTAATAGCGTTAGCGGTCCCTTCCCGCGACACTATGGCCCGCTACGCTATCGCGCAATAGGGTGACATATTGCGGAATATGTCTGTTCGTAAAAACGGATAATAGTATGTCATAACGGTAAATAGTGAGCGATTGCATTCGAAATTTGCTTTTTGACTGCTATTTAAAAGCGGTTTGAGGCTTATTTTTTTAAAATTAAACTCAACCCTTGACCATTGCATTCCACCGTCTCCTGGGATTTTCAGCATACTCCTGTCACCTCTCATAGCCTCTGACACCTATCTTGATACTTCCTCTCACCTCCTTCACTGTGAGCTCCTCTTAGGGTAGTCTTGTCACCGCTAAGCTCTTCTTCTCGAAGACGATGACTTTTTGACTCCTCCAGTCATCTTCGGTATTACTTGATGGTTACATGTCTATTTCATGTTTAGGGTCTTTTTAAATCATCAAATATGTACTATTAGATTTCTTAGATTTTTTTTTAATTTTTTTTTAGTATTTATATATATCTAAATTAGACCGCTATTTGACTTTGCGTTTTTTTACCGCTATTTTACCGCAATAGCCTGAAATAACCTTAGCGATGCCTCACCGCTACGCGACGCTATCCGCTATCAAAACAGCCCAAGCAGACACACAGAGTTCACGTTAAAACCATGCGATAAGTCAGATGTTGTGAGTGTAAATTTATGTTGTTGTTGCTGCTGTTGCTGCTGCACTGGTGGAATAAGGATCCCGGAGCTGACGATGCCCAGGCGCAAATGAGGATGTCAAATTCGTGATTTACTCTTATTGTTCTAAATTCATAATTTAACCCTCTTATTTTTCTTCATAACAGACTAGTCACATGCGGGCGGTTTTTAGGGGGTTCAGACTTGCTCTGATGGAAGTGATGAAATGGTATCAGATTAGGCGTAAGGTGATTTATACTATAATAATTTCCAAACAAATCTTCTAATCACCCATGAACGGCATAAATCACTCCACCCTATGAGCTGTTTTGATAGAATCCTACTCATAGTCTTTTCCCTTATTACATAGTATTTAGTGTTGATGCTTGATTTAGCAATCCTTGAATCCCAAACCTTTAAGATGAGAAAAGAATAATTATTAGGCGTGCAAACGGTTGAGATACAACTTGAAAATAATACTTATAATATATATATATATATATATATATATATATATATAGAGAGAGAGAGAGAGAGAGAGAGAGAGAAATATGAGTATGCTTGGTACCAAGCACAATTTTTGTGCTTGGTAGTGATGTGTCACATCCTCATCCACTCACTACCTATGTGAATTTGTTCTCATATTTGAATGAGTGGAGGGGGATTTGACACCTCACTACCAAGCACAACTTTTTGTGT